CCCACGAGCGGGATGGGTAACAGGGTGCCCCCCCACGAGCGGGATGGATAAACAGGGGGCCCCACGAGCGGGATGGGTAACAGGGTGCCCCACGAACGGGAGGGGTAAAAACAGGAACCCATGAGCGGGATGGGTATACACCGACCCTCCTCCTCAGCTCTTAGTCAGGACTCAAGATCTGCCCTCTGATCTTAAAAGCCAGTTCCTGAGCCCTCTCATCTCCTCTGTCCACAGACGCTTCTTGTTGCTGCTCTTATCTTCCATGTCTGCTCTCCCTGATGAGGAGGCCAGCCTGCCCTGTAAAACGGACTTCCTATGAACCTTTTCCTGGGGGGAAAGCCCCTGGTGCTGGCCTGGTCTCCCTTCAGGGCCCACAAGGAACCCTGCACTTCTGGAATAGAAAAGACAGGAGGGAGGTCTCCGCTGGGCAGTTAGACAGAGAGGAATGAGTATTATGCCTCTCTACCTGGTGGAAAGGGCCAGGTGGTCACTGGAGGGCTCCAAAATGTCTTGTACATGCACATACCACACACACCCCATACAAACATAGACACATATACCCCACATCACACACAACACATACACAGTCATGCACACACTTCACAGACACACTGCACAACACCACACACACACACACGACCCACAGACATACATGCACACTGCTAGGGGGTCCCCTGCCAGCTGGGACTCAACACCCTAAGCCCGTGGGTAGACATAAGGGGATCGGGGCAGAAGACTGGCTGTACAAAAAATGCCTGTAAGGCCTGTTTTAAAGAGGGAGTCACTAGTTCGTATTGGGAAGATTGTCTGCTGCTGTTTAATTGGGGTTTTGTTTGTTTTCTTAAAACGACTTTCCTGGGTCATCGCTTATTGCCTCCTTGGGAAGAGTCTGTCATAATTAAGACCTTATGTGCCTCACCCATTGTTTCTTCCCCGGGGACCACCCTACAGCCCGAGTAGAATGAGCGGGGGACACTGGCTGTCTCTTCTGAAAAGCTGACCTTCCCACCTGAAGACCAGGTCAGGAGAGTGGCACAGAGTGTCTGAAG